TATCGCTTCTGTATGCCCAAACCGCATGTTAAAAAGCATTCATCATAGTTAGATCGTGTTCCACAATTACCATCAACTGCAGACACAGTTACTTCACCATGGAAACAACTTTTTCCTCGCCCTTTAAATGACAGTTACTTTGCAACGGGCAAGCCATAGGGACAGCGAATTTGACCCGTCCGCACTCTCAATTTGATTCGATATTTTATATACCCTACCTGGACAAGGACATTGATTACAGTACCGTTCTTCTTGGTTTCTACCAATGCAGCGACGTCCATGATACTCCGGGGCGGGGTTATTGCAAACTCTATATCGCTTCTGTATGCCAAAACCACATGTTAAAGAGCATTCGTTATAATTAGACCAAGTTCCCCAATTACCATCAACTGCAAGAAAACAAATAATAATAACAAAACCAAATACGAACAATCCAAACCATTTGACAAAATTCAAAGCCCTAAAAACAATACAGGCAAAATAGTGTAATCAGCAATCAGACTCCTCGCCGTGTACAAAATACACGATGAACAGTGGTAACAGATGTCCGGAAGAGTAAGCTTACCCTGTCTGGCGCTACATCAGACATAGCTGCACCCAAACCATTAGATGAAGCCTCGGCACAATAGCGTTTGTGGCATTATATTAGATCAAAGTACACATGAAAACCACGCTTGAGAAACTTTCTCAGTAGGAGATTTTAAACCTTCTGGCTAACGGGCCAGCCCTCCTATCCACTGAGATACCACGGCGCCATTAGTAATGGGAGGATAAACCCATGTACATAATTGTCTGACTGATTCAATCTCACAAACCAACTAAAGTACCAGCCTTTGGTTTTTAATTTGAAAGAGCTGATTATCTACTCTTTCCAGTTGTCAATTACTGGGCCCGCTTCCGTCAGTGACGTCCCGAAAGCAATCTTCAAATTATTAAGGCTTTTCAACGGGGCCCTCAGAATATAGAAATAGGTGATAACCACCGTTATGAAAATAATAATAGCAATAATATTCTCACCTGGCTGACAATGTCGTCGGGATGGCCAATTGCTTCCTCTTCCTCCTCGTTTGCTCCATCCTCGCCCCCTTCCCCGTACTCTACCACCTCGTCCCCTTCTGCCTTCTTCCCACACTCCTCGTCCTCTCCTCCGATCCCGTCTCCGCCTACGACCCTGGGCGTCAGCCACCACAATACAAATAACCAAAATCAGTAAAACGACCAACGTCAAACGCATGTTGAAAGTTTTAACAGTTTCTCTGATAAACTGAAAGCTGTGTAAAGAACAGCGACGTGGTTCCCTCTTTTAAATATTTTCACATATCACCAGATGTTATTATTTACTTGTTGTCTGCTTCCGCCATTAAAATAGAAGGAAGTAAAACGTTTTTTGATGGGTTATATTTTTCGAAATGTTCAAAAATAAATCATTAACGATGTATTATAAAACACAAATTCCTTCTACTTACCCCTGGTAAGGTGCAGGACTTTCTGTGCCTAAGGCATCTTGGTTGGTCCACATCTTCCCTTGGCAGTAGCCTGAGACCTAAAGTATTATAGGAGATTTCTATAAATCTATTTGCCGTGTAAATGGGTAAGACGCTGACTCGATAGCCTGGGGGTCACGAGTTCTATCCCGGTGTTGGCCGTGTAAGTTCATCGAAATTTTCCGGCGTGTTTCCCCTTCCTCCCACCCCTTGTCAGTGGTGCAGATTAGATGGGCCTGTAAGTGACCACGTATAATCGTTCAGATGGGACGAAACAACGAGATCCCGTGTACAAATTGGGGTGGACGTACAAATCACTGTATGGCGCGTGCCAGTCTTCTCTTCATTAGGGGGATCACGTGGCTAAGTGGGTAAGACGCTAGCTCGCTAGACTGGAGGTCGGGTGTTCGATCCCTGCATTGGCCGAGAAAGTTCATCCAGATTTTCCGGCGTGGTTCTCCCTTGTCAGTGATGCAGGACGGAGGGGCTGACAAGGAAAGCTGTCTAGTCGTTCGGATGGGACGAAAAACCGAGGTCCCGTGTACACATTGGCGTGCACGTAAAAGATCCCTTGGCAGTTGGAATTCGATATAAAAGTAGGCCGTAGTTCCGCTGTCCGGGCAAAATTTCCCTCATAGCACACTGTATGGTGTATGCCCGTCTTCATTAGCCCAGGTTAGGAGCAGAACAGTAAGACGTTAAACTCCATTTCATTTCATTTCATTTCTCTTCATTAGCTCAGTCGAAGCAGTTAAACCCGATTTCATTTTGAATTGTTCAAATTATTTGGGCAAAATGTCCCATCATAGTATGTATCTATAGAATAAGCATCCAGTTAACACTATACGCCCACGGGCCGAATTACGTTTACTGACATGTTAGAGAAAGCACTTCATTGGTTAAAATTTATTTATGAAACAAAAGGGTAATACTAAGCAGAGCTGGAAATGGCCTTTAAATTGCAAAAATATGCATGCGTAGGACCAGGTTATAATTTTGATTACTTAAAAGGCGTGAGTTGGGTCCATACTAAACTTAAACATGCATTATGCAAGAGCAAAATCTGCTTATTACAAGTCTTTCTTTAGGCCTGAAATGTTATCTAAATTATCAATTAGACATTAATTAACTTATCCAGACCATAATAAACTCTCGATGTCAAGGCTAGCCTTCGATGTAGGCTGGATTAGATTCCTATATGCCGCTAACGGGCAAAGATAATTAAATCAGAAAAAGTGGATAATCGAGACTATGATGTTTATATTAATGATTTTAGTAATGATAACTGAGACTATGCAAAAATTTCACCCGCTTCTTTCTCGGCTCATAGTGGATCAATTTGACTGAAATTTTCAGCAAATTACCTTTACACTATCTAGTTTTTAACTATTATAGCGAGAACTGCCATCTCTTTATCTTATCTCCCATAATATATCTTTAACCTGACCGAAAACAGTCGCTGAGCTAGCTGACCGACATTTTAGTTCTTGCAGCTACGATTTTAGTCGCAAACAAAAAAAGTGTGAGAATTATTTTCATTGACGTCAAAAATATGTGACGCCTTTGATTAGACGCGTCATAGAAATATTCTAAAATCTTGAGAAGTATCTCCATTTAATAAAATTGAAAAGGTTCAATTAGTTATTTTTTTGTGTATAACAGACGTAAACCAGTGTAGGACCGCATTACAAAACAGTATATGAATTGTTGGATATGGCGGCCATTTAGGACAGAGATCTATTCTCAAGGTAGAGTAGAGAATTTTCTTTGAGAAGAATGGGCTGGAACCTATTACTAGAAATGGCCGTTTAATGGCACCTGCAACCGAAATTAAATTACTTGCTACATCTAGTTGCGGAAATAAAATGAATATATTAAAGTTATGGATATGTTTTATCTATTGCTTTATTCGCATGGTCGCCATCTTGCATATGAAAATCAAATTTTATAACCATGGTGAATTAACTTACCGGGAAACAGAATGGAAAAATAAAATTGATCAAAGTTATAGATATGTTTAAATTTATTGATTTATTCGCATGGCTGACATCTTGCATATGATAATCAAATTTTATACACATCTGCAGGAACAATAAAACTGATCAAAGTTATGTATATGTTTTATCTATTGATTTACTCAAATAGCTGACATCTTCCATATGAAAATAAAATTTTATAAGCATAGTTGATTACGTTACCGGGAAATAGAATGAATAATAAAATTGATCAAAGTTATGTATATTTTGATATTCTTTGATTTATCCGGATGGCTGCCATCTTGCACATATGGCAATTAAATTTTATACATATGGTGGATTACGTTACCAATTCAAAACTATGATACAAACTTGGAATGGATGCTCCTTGGACAATTGCGCATTGGTGAAACGATTTCGAATTATTAAGAACTCTTAAAGTGTCAATCATTAATTCCTAGCTGTTTTCTGGTGTTGTCCAGGTAGCGTCCAGTGACGGTTCCTTAAAGATACATTATCATAGGCGTACTAGCTGGAGGGGGGGGGGGGGCTGGGGGCGGCTGCCCCCCCATTTTGGGCACCAAATGCTGGGAAAATTTGGACACACAATTGTACTTTGTAAAAGTTGTATAAAAAAATATTGTGTTCTTGAATGTGTCCAATTTAACAGCAAATTTATTATTATCTACATTTTTGGGGCACCGACTGATGGTTAAGTTGATTTGCACTGCTGGAGCGTCATGATTATTGTTATAGCGTTTAAAAAACACAAGAATGTTTCAAAGGGGGGGGGGGGGGCGTCAACATCCCTTGCCCCCCCCCCCCCCTCGGATATCGATGTCTTCTTACGTTGTACCATCCACACAATGATACAGGGGTAGGAAACCCTCCAACCCCTGGACAAATATCCGACAAACAATTATTGCTTATTTGTGATGAGGTATGTATTAGTACTCCAAGACAACAAGCGGTTGACATTCAAGATACGCCCACATTTTGCAAGATATGGACAGAGAACAAGCTCAAAAAAGAAGCAATTTTTCGTACAATCAGGGGCCATAATCCAGGAATATGCACGAATATCGAAAGGAATCTAGATCTTTATAAACATACGTTTAAGTACAACACTGGCTCGCTAGCCTGGAAGTCGGGTGTTCAATCCCTGCATTGGCCGAGAAAGTTCATCCCGGACTGTTTCTATTTTATTCGTGTCCTTACTTTTTTGAATTGTCAGATATACTCTTACAGTCTCATATAACAACTTTTGGTCTTCGAAGGAATTATTAGTGAGCAGAAATTTGCCCATATATCTGTTATCATTCGTCACTTCATTCAGTTATATAGAGGGATAACTCGTGTTTTCCTTTTGCGTTCGTCATTTCTGATCGTTGAAGCATTAATTACGCCTCTATCTTAGCAATGATTTCTGTGAAAAAATAATATTTGGAATGTGTTTAACCAGTTCTATCACATATGTGATAATGACTGGCACTAATATTGTCCTTTAAATTAAAATAAATTACACAACATATTATTACCTTGTCAATTGTTTTATTTCATTAGGGGATTAAAAAATCAGTCAGGCGTTAATGAATACACACACCCGCTGTATATAGGTAATTAAGGAATAAACATTCCAATTATGCATTCGGTCACTGTGACATCACTGGCATCTGAGGGGAATAAGAGTGTTTTCGATAATTGGCAAAGTTGTTTTTACAGGAGGTCTCTTTTGGCGTCTTTGAGTGATGATAGCCGAAATTAATTTTACTCAGATTGGTGTAAACTTGCCGTAAATTGGATATAGTAACCATTGGCTATATGTACCGAAAAGTAATGTCGTCCATCTTATGTGCCCTTTAATATTACCTCAATCTAATTAAAACACAGATCCTAATTCGTTTCCTTTGTATAGTTCAAAATTTCGTTTTACATGTGTTTACTACACTAGGACCTGGAAGAGTTGTTATCATTGATGTGTTCTGAATGATGTGAGGGATAAGCCAATGAAACGGTCTGTTACAACCGGTCAGATCTTCATGTAGTGTAGGCCATCGAAAGTATAAAAAAACGAAACGAAATATAGATTTGTATATTAATCAGATTGATATTCCCTCTAAATAATTCAAATAAAAAATATGTACACAATGTATGGATACCGAAATGACCTAGTTTCCCTAGTTTTGCTGTCTGAGGGAGAGAGAGAGAGCATCTACTCGACACAATCTAGGTCATTTCGGGACTAACACATGGTTCAATTTTATTTCAATAATTCGCTTCCGCATAGGGGTCTTTAGCAGTGGGAAGCAACCAGAGGACCCAGCGAAAACCCACGAGGTTGGACAGGCCACCCTACTCCTTGTCAGGTACAACCGGGGATTTGAAATCATGTCAGTTGACTCAATGACAGACCTTATGATACAGCGCACACATGCTAACCATTCGACCATCCAAAACCCCCTGAAGATAAAGACTTGGCACTAAATGATTTACTACAAAGATCGCATTTGATTGTCAGTCAGCAGGCGAAATGTAGAGTTTCCTCAACGTTCCATTTTTTGTCCTGATGTTTGGTGCATTGCTTGCATGTGAACCTGTAGATCAGACTTGACACTAAACGATTTACTACAAACATCGCATTTGAACGGTTTCGCTCCCGAGTGACGGCTGGTATGTCTCTTTAGATCGCACAGTTGATTAAACGCCCTGCTACACAGATCACACCTGTAAGGTTTTTCTCCCGTATGAATACGCGTGTGAACTAACAGGTACGATTTACTCCTGAACGATTTACCGCAAACATCACATTGATAGCCCTTCTCTCCGGTATGGATCCTCATGTGACATTTCAGGGTGGAGCTATCGTTGAATGACCAACTACAGACCTGACAAGAGTAGGGTTTTACTCCTGTGTGAATACGCATGTGTTTTCGGAGATTAGAGTTTTCATGGAATGATACACCACAAATCTCACATGTAAACGGTCTTGTTGCTGAATGAATATTCATGTGTTTCGTCACATCAGAAGGTCGTTTGAAAGATTTACTACAAACATCACATTTATATGGCCTCTCACCAGTATGAATTCTGACATGTCTCTCAAGACGTCCAGCATCAGCGAATAATCTACAACAAACATCACATTGAATGCGATTGTCTCCATTATGGATACTGATATGTCTCTCAAAATAAGCCTGGTCTTTATAGGCCTTACCACAAACATCACATTCATATGGTTTTCCTTTAGTATGAACTCTGGCATGTCTCTCAAGTAAACTATTTTTCGGAAATATTTTATGACACTGATTGCATTGATGTTTTCCTTTTGTTTTAACATACTGCCGACTATTTTTAGATCTATTTGGTTGTGTTGTAAGAATTAACTGTTTATGACTACACGTATGATTCTCAAGATCAATGTACCGTGTAAAACGTATATGACAAACAGTACATTGATGTGATGAACACTCTGTTTGTTTAACATGTGTTTTATAATGTTCTTCAAAGTCGGTGTATAACTCAAAGATTTTATCACACTGTTTACATTGATGTGAGTTGCTTGCTTCAGATTTCTCTTCTTTTACATGTATTTTACAATGATCTTCTAAGTCTAAATATTGTTCAAAACGCTTGCTACAAACTGTACATTGATGTGACAAACTAGACTCCTCTTGTTCAACATGTATTTCACAATGTTCTACTAACTTAGTGTATAATTCAAATTTCTCGTAACACAGTTTACATTGATGTATGGCTTCAACATCATCAGTTTTCTCTTCTTTAATATGTTTGTTGATATCAGATGTTACCTTAGCGAAATGTACTTTACAATTTTCATCGTAAATTTCCTCTTCTTTAACATGTATTTTATTGTGAAGTTCTAGGTCACTGTACTGTTGATAAATTTGATCACATACAACACACTGGTGAAATGTACTTACATCATTAGTTTCCTGTAATATAAAAAGAAAATTAGTGAAAAAGTAAAATAGTAACACAATAATTGTTCACTTGAATATGTATTTTGTTGTGGATCTCTAGTAGACCTGCAAATCTATGGAAAAGACCCACTATGACCTCGTTGGAGGACATTTTCAAACTGAAAACTCCCATACATGAATTCTAACAGAAAGTTTGTTTTGTACAAAGAATTCTTTAAACAACAAGTGAGGCTGATGTCCCCCGTCGAAATCCTGAAATAAATAGATGACACATATTTATTAATTGCACATTTCTCTTTTTCAAAAGTATCGAGCAATCAAACTGATTAACAACTATACACTAAGTTTCTTCATTCTTTGTCAGATAGAATCGCAGTCAAAGAAGTTGCTTAGTTCTGCTTAGCTTTAGCGGGATATGTTAATCATTGAACTGAGTCAAATCCAGTGAAAATCTGACACATAAGATGTCATTGAGAGTTGATTAGAGTCTTTTCAAGTTAATAAATGTCTAATTAATAGTTTATATAACATTTCAGGCCTAAAGAAAGACTAGCAATAAGTAGATTTAGCTCTTGCATAATGTATGTTTAAAGTAGCTAAGTCTCTAACTCAATATCATTCCAAGTCTTCGACATTGAAACACAACATTGATGTTGTGATCTTACCGAGAAATGAAATGAAATGTTGTTTAATGGCACGTCAGCTCCAACCGGGCTATATTGCGCCAAACATATGGTGAATTTAACGGGACAAATTAAAACAATATCACAGGAATGTATTCATATATGTAAATAAAAACAAATATCACAGAAAATATACTTAAAAATAAATATATCAATTCCTTTACATATATAAATATTTAAAAAACAATATATGATAAATATATACAATTAAAATTTTGAATAAAAGTTTGTCTCTTTTAAAAATGCTAGCAATTCATCATAAAGCTCCGGTTGAGCAAATAGCTGACGTACTGACTGGCAACGGTAATATTTAGATCTAATATGTTTGAGATGATTGCACTCACTTACCGAGAAAAGATGGCCTTCAAATGTCCAATATTTAAGAAGAAATGAAAATTTTACCATTGATACACGAATCATGTACCATAATGCATTTCACATTCTGACCCATTTGTAACAAGGGACTCGAAGAACGAGGCTAGACATATTCAACAAGTCATGTCAAACGGTGACATCATATTCTTATTTGGAGAGCATGCGCGGTGAATACTATCGCTGTGGACTGGAATAACCATACGCTAGAGATTGCCATTCGATTGAGACTTCTGACGTATTTTGCCGAATAACTGATTAGAAATTACAGTAAAACTGAAACGCAACAGAGCCTCGTTTAACATGGTAAATAGGCGGCACCGACGCCTCGCACTGGCCAAACTGTGCCACCTACTGAGCCCAAAAAATGAAGACTGGGCGGCAACATACAGTGTACATACCTTTTGAAAATAGCTGACAAGGTTTTTCCCATGTGCCAATACTATATCATGGTGCGTAGGTTTACAAAATCGTCTTTTTGATTTTTTTTATGGGTATATTTCTGTCTGCGGGTCAGCCGCAGCAGTGTTTTGATCTCAATTTTACAGGGTATTAATCAATCCATGGTTTAACAAGATGCCAAAACTAATAGTGTATCAAATCTCCGAAACTATTTTTTAAGTGCTCAGAAATCGAGTCTAAGGGAGTCAATGTTCAAAATTTTCTGGGGAGGGCCCCCCTAGACCAACCGCGCAGGCGCTCACCTGCGGTTGCTCATGGGTCAGGCTTCACCCGACATTGCCGCGCACAACCAAATTCTTAATCGAGGCTCTGAAACGCAATGAATGTAAATCAGTTTATATACATTCATATACATGTACATTATTATATGAGTTGCAATTCATTTGAGTCAATTTCTAGGTCCCAAAGATTAGCTGTTTAGCTTCTTTAGTTAACCTACCGGTATAAAGGTTTTAATTCTATTTCAATTACCTAAATCGCTAATATTCGGGACCTAGAAATTGACCCAAAATGGATCACAATGCATATAATAATGTAATCTGATTGTATATGAACTGATTTAGATTCAATTGTTTCTGTTTTGACTCTAATTTCAAATAAGTTAGGTCCAGCGAAATATGGCATGAGTCTCAACCGAATAGCAATTTCTAGTGTCTGCCAGTCTATTGTGCATGTTCTCCAGATAAGATGAGTTGTGGAATATATATCTAGCCTCGTTCTTTCTGGTCACTTGTTACAAATGACACTGAAAGTGAAACGCACTATGGTACACGATTCATGTACCAATGGTAAAATGTTTATTTTGTCTTAAATATTGGATATCAGAAGCCTACATTTTCCTGCTAAGATCACAACATCAATGTTGATTTGAATTGACAAATAATTCGTATTTTGAACGTGTAAGACTTTGGATGATATTGAATTAGAGTACTTTAACATTAAAGATACATTATGGGAAATTTTTATAGAGAGTTGGCCATTCTTGCTATAACAGTTCAAAAGTAGACGACGAAGGAAGAATATATTGAAAATTTCAGTCAAAATACTTTATTCTGAACAAAGTTATCATCGTTGTAATATTTGACTAGAAATGGTATTCAAATATCTTCACCTTGGCCGATCGTTTGATTGACAGGCGTTAACTCCACCTACATAATCTCGATTATCAAGTAACGTTTTCAATGGCTTGAGACGGGGTTGCAGTTCAATTCGTATCACATTTATTTTTACTACAAATTAAAAATAAGACTTTTATTATATAGATAAGAAGCGAAAGTTTGAAAGGAATGGACCAAATCAATGAGGCACAATTATAGCCGCCTTCTTGTTAGCCTGCGTGTACTCTTGTACTGTAATGTGACTACGTGACTTCCGAAGCAGACAAATAGGAAACACTACCAGTGATCCAATGGGGCTGCAATTCAACTGGGGTGATGTTAGCTGCGATGTTTATCAATTTTTCTGTAAACGCAAGTGACAAAAGGGTGTATAATACCAACATCCAAACTCTCATTTTAACTACAACTGAACATAATTTCAAGGCCGTATATATCGAGCTTTCAATCAAACTGACTGATATAAGGCATCGCTCAACAGCGGCCTCGCTTTGTACACTCATTTAGCCTCGATCTAACTGATGACGTCAACGTAACGGTTAATAATCTCCGCATGGGGCATGGAGTTTGATTGGCTATATCTATTTCTTAAGGCCAGCTCAGTTTTGTTAAGATCGTTGAGATGTAAATAAGGTTAAGCACGTGATTGTTGTTGAGATTGTAGGTTAGGGTTAGGGTAAGCATTAGGGCTATGTCCAGGGTTAGGATTAGGGTTGGGATTAGCGCTAGCCCTGTTTACATCTTATGACCTTTGATCAAAAATTGAGCTGGCCTTATTATTTAGCACTAACCAGTTGAATGTCGTTGCTATGGTTTGTAGGTTGACTGGACCTTTTGTTGAGAGGGACATTAACATGCTTTTACTTGAACATCGTGTTTGTGTGAAATATCTTCTACGTGTTATCCTATTTGACACGATACAAGAGATGTGTCCCCGGGGTATGTCAAGAAACTTTACAGAATTCTTGCAGCTTTTTCTTATAATGAGGCCCCGAATACACCGTGAAGTGGAGACAAAAAACATGACATCATGTTGCTAACAATTTTAAATAGATTATTCTTAGATCAGAGCTTTAAGCCGTTATTATTTTTGTAGCAACCTGCCATGTTTTTGGCAACATTTGGTATATTTGTTTATTCAACGAGGACATCTTTGACTGTTTACGAGTATTATTAGGTCACGCCTTGAAGATATTATTACTTGGCTATTAGTTGTGTGTATATAGGCCTATATAGAGGTCGCATTAGTTATTAATTATTTTGATTTAATCAATCAGTGAAATCCTATTTAAATCCAAGCTGTAGCCGAGCCATCCGTGGGTCTACAGAGTTGATTCTGGGCTTGTTGTTTAAATATAGATCTAATTTATAATTTCTATAACATCTGAAGCATAAATCAAGACTTGCAATAATCAGATTTAGCTCTTGCATAATGTATGTTTAAACAATAATAATCACATGAGCTTCGCTGTACTCAGCGTTAAACTCCATTTTATTTCATTTCATTTTCCTCTACTCAGGCAATACCTGTACTGTTGTTACACATTACTAATTTACAAATTGCCTATGACGTAATTTGATTAGTTTACCGTCTCCATTTCTTGTGGGAAGTTATGACTAAAATTACACTATCTTTACAGAAGTAAAATGTAAAAATTAATCTTGCTTCAATGATTTCGAGTCTTCAGATTTGCAATGTCGCCATCTTTGTCTTGGTCTATTTCCTGTTGTATATAGACTTTGACGCAGAACGAACCAACACGAGTAACGGGTGTATCGAGTTACTGCAAATTGTTATTGAAGAGTTCAAATGAGATCAGTTTCAATGTCTTGAATATTTTATAGAGACACCTGCGTACACATAGACGTGAATGTTTTAAAGGGACTATCCCGAACAGTATCTCAAAAATGGAAGTCCGAGTACGTATGAAATTTAAGCGCCAATTTAAAGGACAATATTGGTGCCTGTCATTATCACACATAGAACTAATTAAACACGTTCCAATTATAATTTTAACACAGAGATCATTGCTACGATAGCAGAGTAATACAGGTTTCCCGAATCGGAAGTGACGAACGCCAAAGGAAAACACGAGTCATACCTCTATATATAACTGACTGAAGTGAAGTGATAAAAGATACATGGGCGAATTTCTGCTCACTAATTATTCCTTCCAAGACCAAAAGTTGTGTGAGACTGTGAGAGGATATCTGACAATTTATAAAAAAGAATTGACTGCCACTAGATAAGAGAACACGAAAGAAAAACAGAAAAAGTCCGTGCATTACCATGTTTTTATAAGGTATAGCATGAATATAAACAAGGGAATGTACGGACAATTTCTATTTTTCTCATGTTCTCTTATCTAATGATATTCAATTACTTTATTGAATTGTCAGATATCCTCTGACAGTCCCATATAACAACTTTTGGTCTTCGAAGGAATTATTAGTGAGCAGAAATTCGGCCGTGTATCTGTTATCACTCGTCACATCAGTCAGTTATATAGAGTGATAGATGGATAGATAGATGTTTATTGCATCAAAACGTCCATGAAGGACAGCATGCATACATGTACATATACACTTAGACATAGTCATATACATTCAATAATACATATTACATAGACAACTCATTACATTCGTACAAACAGTATACTACATGTACAACTGTACATGTATATCAAATAGTAAGTGTAGGAGGACCGCACTACATGCAAAACAAAAATCTACAAGATAAACCTGCGGACAAGACAGAAAATAGACATTGCACCAAATAAACACATATCACAAATCAAGTGAATGGAAGGGGTTTCAGTTACATGTAGTTGCCACCATATTTGATTTAGCTCTCTTATCAAAAGCCAAAAAGACATATAGAGCCACTGCCTTGGCAATCAATTTTGGTGGTGTAAAGAGATTAATAAAATTGTAGAAAATCTTAGGATTTGCCGAGAAGGCTGGGTATAAATGGGCTTGGCGTATTTCTTCATACTTGCTACAGTATAACAAAAAATGTTGCTCGTTTTCGATCGAATTTAAATCGCAAAATTTGCATAGACGCTGATCAACAGGAATTTTTTTTGTATCGGCCCCTCTCTATTTCTAAGTGATGCGTACTGAGTCTAAGTGTGGTCATAGCTTTCTTATGATCTCTATTTTTAACCGAATATAAATAGTCTGGAGAGTTGGTAACAGTAGGTTTTGAGATGAAATATGTACGTAATTTGCTGTTATTGGAGTTAGAAGATATGTGGTAGAAGGAGTTAAATTTTGATTCTAGGGATTTCTTTATATTTTCTTTTTTTAGCAAATGAACATGATTTATTTGGAGTTTCGAAGTTAAATTATTGATTGCGGCTGACCAAGATAATTTTTCATTTTTAGAGGATATAGTTTTATCTTCAGTATAGGCTGCTGAAAGAAGAGGAAATATTTGTTTCATCCTAACATCGTTTAGCCTTGTATGATACATAAGCATGCGGGTATAGGTGACTAACGTTAGTGGGAAGATTCCTAGTTCCGCAATACATCCAAGGTTGGTCGATTTAAGTGGTTGATTCAAAATGGATTTGCATATTTTTATAGTTAGTTGGTTTAGATTAATTTTGTCCCATTTTTCAACTGCGAATTTTTTGCTGTGCACCAATTCAGCTCCCCATATATCGGAGGCGTAAGTTGTTATTTGTTTGATAATGGCCTGGTACAGTTTGATCAAGACGGCGGTAGGAATATAGTCAGATGTGCAAACTTTATTTCTGATACTGTACCAGGCTCTTTTCGCTTTTTTCCCTAAGTCTGACATGGTCTGTTTAAAGCTAGAGTTGTTGGATATACATACACCCAGATACACATACGTATTTACATTTTCCATGTTATGAATTCCAATATGGAACCTTTTATTAATTTTTTTCTTATTATTAGAGAAGAGCATTATTTTAGATTTATCTGTGTTTACATCTAATTTCCAGTCTGAACAGAACTGTCCCAAGGACATCAGCAAAGAGAAGGTGTGAAATTTTGGTATTATCTAGAGTGGGTGCATCGTTATCAGAATTGGTTAAATAAGTGTGAGGATCATTAATATAGATATTGAAGAGGGTAGGACTTAGAACACAGCCTTGTTTTACACCCATATTTGAAATTATTGAATTAGAAAGCCCATAGGTAGCTTTGACTCTATACGAGGTGTTTTCATACATTGAGTATATGAGGTTAAATATATTGCCAGAGATGTTATGTTTTAGAAGTTTCAGAAATAGACCTTTTCGCCAGATATTGTCGAAGACTTTTGAGAAGTCCACAAAACAAAAGAACAGGTTTTCTTTATTGCATTTATGCTTGTTTATTATGGTTTTCAGAATAAAAACATTGTCCACTGTTCTGTGGTTTTCTCTAAAACCACACTGAGCTGCGTCAATAAGGCTGTGTGCTTCAAGATAATCGGTTACACGTTTATTTATTATGGAGAGAAAACATTTGCTTAGGCAACTCGCAAGGGCAATACCCCTATAGTTGTTTGTGTCAAGTTTGTCTCCTTTTTTATAAATTGGTATGATAAAAGATTCACCCCATGAGTGAGGGAATGTACCTGACTTAAGTATTAGATTAAAGAGTTTAAGAAACTGGTCAATCATATATTCATTAGATGTAATTAGCATTTCATTCAAAATTAGGTCTGGGCCATTGATATTCATGTCTATGTTATCGTTGCTACTGCTAGTTTTCTCAGGTGTTTTTTTTTTGGAATAATTTTGAAAAATGGTTTTCCCATGTTTTCAGCGGAATATCATTAGTTTCTTTACTTTTACTGTCATCTTGAAGAAGTGAATTTACTAATTTCCAATATGACTCATGTTTTCCTTTGGCGTTCGTCACTTCCGATTCAGGAAACCTGTATTACTCAGCTATCGTAGCAATGATCTCTGTGTTCAAATTATATTTGGAATGTGTTTAACCAGCTCTGTCACATATGTGACAATGACTGGCACCAATATTGTCCTTTAAAATTTAAAGGGATGCTGTATTTACATTGCCTTAAAATTTCAGTTCAAAATATTGAGTCGTTTGGATGCGAACGTCAAAAATGCTTATCCGGACACGTAACCCGTTTAAGATTTGGAGTCGATTTGATAATCGATTCCCATTCCTTTTTGGGGTCTTTACAGTGAATGACCCATGTGCTGTACCAAAGACTTAACTCAGATCAAGACCAGTCGGACCAACTGATAGACCATTCGGGCCAAACAAAAAGACTGGTCCGACTGGTGTGGATACCCTGTACTTGCTCAGGATAGGTAAATTTCACCTACACATTATTTCTATAAAATAAAAGTCTGGTCTTATCCAGACACCGTATAATACAGCTTGAGACACCGGTCTCCATTTCCAGATGAAGACGGGCGGGTTTTAGTTCTTTGAAAACGTATCACCAATATTGAGTTAGTTGCTCGGCCCTTAGGTAGAGGATTTTAACACAAAATTAAGCAGCTTTATGCTCCAACATTATTATCGGTATTGGCTCTTTAATATTTTATTTGAAGGTTACGGACAAACTGGCCAGCAGTAAATATTCGCTTGACCGCTACTATCTGCATGAAATAGACAAAAATGGTTCTAAAAGTGATTTAAAAATAAACTTTCTGGACCGCTTCTCCAATAAGAAAACTCAAATAGGTTCATATAAAGCCCTGGGGATCACGGTGGCTAAGTGGGTAAGGCGCTGGCTCGCTAGCCTGGAGGTCGGGTGTTCGATCCCTGCATTGGCCGAGAAAGTTCATCCAGATTTTCCGGCGTGGTTTCCCCTTGTCAGTGATGCAGGACGGAGGGCCTGACAAGGACAGCTGTCTAGTCATTCGGATGAGACGAAAAACCGAGGTCCCGTGTACACATTGGCGTGCACGTAAAAGATCCCTTGACAGGTGGAATTCGATATAAGAGTAGGCCGTAGTGCCGCTATCCGGGCAAAATTTTCCCTCATAGCACACTGTATGGCGTATGCCCGTCTTCATTAGCCCAGTTCGGAGCAAAACAGTAGGACGTTAAACCCCATTTCATTTCATATCATTTCATATAAATCCCATTCGTAACTTGGAAAATCTGCGTCGCCTAGCCTCACGACTCCATTACAATGGCGACCTTCTTCGGGGTCGTTTTTATACTCCCACATTTTCATGTGGACGTATATTGTCGTCGGCTCGTCGCCCCTACCCGTCCGTCCGTCCGCCCGGACTTCCGTCCACAATTGTTTGTGAACAGTCTACAGGTCACAATTTGTATCCGATTTCAATGAAACTTGAAATATAGGTTTATCACCAGAAGATCTCGGTTGCTTTCGATATTGGCATGTATCGGACAGTAACTTCATGGATTATGGCACCTGATTGTACGAAAAATCACGTTTTTAGCTTGTGAACACTGTAGAGGTCACAATTTTTATCCGATTTAGTTTTAACTTGAAATGTATGATTATAACCCAAAGATCTCGGTTCCTTTCGATATTCGCGCATATCGGAACGTAACTTCCTGAATTATGGCCCCTGATTGTACGAAAAATTGCGTTTTTAGCTTGTGGACCCTATAAATAGACCTTTTCGCCAGATATTGTCGAAGACTTTTGAGAAGTCCACAAAACAGAAGAACAGGTTTTCTTTATTGCATTTATGCTTGTTTATTATGGTTTTCAGAATAAAAACATTGTCCACTGTTCTGTGGTTTTCTCT